CTTCAATTAATTTTAACTGCAGCAATAGCTGGTTTAGAATTTGGTTCATTTTATTATGATGTTGCACATGGAACTATTTGGGCTGGTTTTTGGTCGTCTCTTGTATTTATTTTAACATTTATTATGATGTTCATTATAAGTAAGTTATATTTTAACAAAATAGTTCTATTTATATGATTGATTTATTTAGCTTGTTGTTGTCGTGGACGATGTTGTGCTACTTATCTCTTTATATTAAATGGTATGTTTATAGAAAAAACAAAATTTTTTTTCTTTTTAAATTAATTCAATATCTATCTTAATAGTAATGAGTGGTGCATTAGCATGTGTTATCATTTATTTCGATGTATATTTTCAAGATAATATATGTAAATGTTATCTAGGTGATAATTTATGTTGTGCTTTACGTGATATAAAAAGTTTTAATTCTGCATATGGTGATATTGCAAAAAATTGTACACCTATTTATCTTAATGGAGTACAAACAATAGTTGATCCATGTTATACATCTCCTCCAACAGCTAAATATATATTTCTTAAAGCACAAATAGGTTGTTCAGTTGGTATGCTAGTAACTTGTGGACTCTATGTTCTTTCTTATTTATTTGCTTGTTGTATGATTTGTTTTGGACATGATTGAATAAAATTCAAATGATAACTATAGACGCAAATACTTTTTTCTTTTAATCAAAAGAAAACATAGCAACAGTAAAATACACAATTTATTTCAAGAAAGAAAAAAAGAACGATTTCTTTTTTCGTTCTTCACCATTTTAACAAGACATTAAATAGTTAGAAAAAAAATTTTTTTTTTTCTATTCATAATTGTGTGTACTTTGTTGTCCTTCTCAATTTCATTCAAAAGTAAAATATCATGATTCAATATATCATTTGAAGACAAACTGACAGTTATTAAAACTTCTAAAGTTGAAGAATAGAATAAAACTGTAATGAAAAGAATATAGTATGAATACTCTGAAATATTACTATCAACAATTAAATCAGTTGTTTTTGGTTTCTACAAAATAAAAGACAATAAAAGTAAATCTTGAGGGTATTAGTGAATGTCTCTTCTTGATTATTAAAGTAAAGAGTATTAGTTGCTCGTTTTAAGGCAAATAATGTAAAGTATCGTTGTTGTTTGAATCTCTTCGAAAATATTCGCACGCAATTAACTTTTCAATACACGTCTAAATTAATGACAAAGAATATTTTTAATATAATATGTCAAGGAAATTTACTTCGATTAAATATATATCTGGTTTAAATCTTGAAGTGAGTTGTTGAATAACTTCTTGTATTAATAGTGATTGTTTTAGTGTCTGTTTCTTTTTCATTATTCGAACGAGAACAGCTTGAATAAACATTCGACGTTCCTCAACTGCTGCTTTCGTGAAATGATAACGATCTTTTTGCTCTTCAGCTTTGGATGGAAGATTTATATTCAATCGAATTTTGTTACTTAAAAATATTTATTTCACTTTTAAAACTTTATTCAAAAGAAAATTTACCTTAAGAAATTTGTTGCAAGTTCAATTCGACTGTTTACTGTAAGAGGATTGTCAGATATTAATAAATCACTTTTCAACAAGCCCGAGAGAATTTTTAATAATAATTTCGAATGAATTTGTGTTTTGTCTTGAATTTGTTCGAATGTCCAAGTTAATTCTTCATTAAATAATAATAAAATCACCATTTGATATGTTGATACCTTTTCAATGCAAAGAAATTTTTTCAGATTGAATCTATTAATTTCTTCTTACTTTTAATCGATGTTTTTCTCTTGTGAAATATATTTGTAATTCTCCTTCGGAATATCGATGAAGTAGTGTAAGTTTTCGACCAACATAATTACTAAGATAAAATGTTGTGAAATTATCATATACAGTTTTTAACTAAAATAAATATCGATTTATTGAAGAGAAGAATTTTAATATCAAAATCTAACTTTGTCTGGTAAAAGGACATCCGATGAATGAGAGAATAACCAAGAATCCGAATTAAGAATCATAAACGAAAAAAAATCTATGAAAAAAATATTTGCTTCAAGATTATTATTCGAATAGATTTTACTAATTTTATCTCCATGTGCAAAAGTGAACTTCCAACAAGATGTTTAGTAATTTTTTCGTAGTCGTCTTTGACAAATAAGTATAAGTTTTGTTAGTAATACGTTTAAAATTATTGATTTTGTTCATATATACATAAAAGACTACATGATTATTCATCAGATTATTATCAATTGCAATCTTATTTATCAGTTAGTTCAATTATATATGCACAAGTATCGACTTTATATTATTTAAAACAAGTTTTGCATTTACTTTATGGAACGTGTTGCTAATTGTTAAATATATTTTTTATTGATGACAAACTATAGAAAAAAAATCAAGCAATACTGATCTGATTGTAATCAATTAAAGAATTCTATCTCTTTATTATCAGCAGCACTCGTGTTCTTTGTCTTTTGTTCAGTTGACTTTATGTGATATCGTTTTATTTATTTATTTATTTATGTTTTCAAAAATAAACAATATTTAGCGTTCTTTATGAACAAAGCAATGTTATTTGTGGTCAAGGAGAAAAAAGTGCGACTTTATTTACTTCAAAATGTTTTTGAAGTACCGTGAAGTACAGGTGCAGTATAAATGAAGTACGAGTGAAATACAAGTGCAGTATAAGTGAAGTATAATTGAAACGCAGGTGCAGTATTAGTGAAGTACAGGTGCAATATAAGTGAAGTACGCATTACTAAAGTCTGCTTTCCCCCTTGCTTGCTGTATATAAATTTTTGAAGATAAGTTTCATGCTACGGATTTGCTAATGCAGTAATATCTGCTTGCGATAGTTCTCTACTGTAAATATATAATTCATCAATATCTCCTTGATAATAGTTCATGTAAATTTTATTATTAGTACAAATAACTCCTGTCAGAGACTGTCCTAGAGTAAAGATCATCGGTACACCACTTCCTATATAGGGCGATGTACTGATTTGTTGGTAGAGGATACCATTTATGTATAAACGCAATCCATTAAGTTTGCTATACGTTTCTACTATATGAAACCACTGACCAACTGTCAGAACAGGGCCAGTAATTGCAGGTACACCACCATTAAAAATTTGTACGATTATCTGTCCCGACGAACTTAAACCAATAAATGGAAAGCAAAAACCCGTACCCTCGAGATGGTCAGAAAAGTGCACAATTGTACCACCATTTGTAACGGATATTAATGGTCGTATCCATACTGCAACTGAAAAAGGACTGTATGATTGTCCCAATAAAACTAGACCTGTAATTTGAATATAACTCGAGTTCGGATAAAATAAAAGCGACTGTCCAACTCGTCCTTGATCACTACTAAACGGTCCACTGGCGACGCCTGTGATTTGATTAGGACCACTATCCCCACCAGGATTATTCGGATCATCCATTGAGTAATATACAACTAATGTTGCATCATCTAAGATTTCAGCTGCTGATTTTGCTCTACCGAGTGAAATTTCCAATTGATCAATATATCCATTATAAAAACCACCGTTGTAACTCGTATATACACCAATTGTCTGTATGCCACCTGTGCTTAAACAAGGTGGTGCTTGATAATTTATAGCATCTAATAAAGAAAGAATGCATTGTTGTAATGTTATATAAAACAAAAATAATCTCTAATCGTTTACCTGCAACACCATTAATATATATAACTTGTGTTGTCATCGTGTAATCATATGTAAATGCTATATGTTGCCATTCGAGTGCTTGAAATATTGTTGATCCTTGTACATCATCACCGTAGAAAGCACCATAGCCTGTTCCATTTCTTAACATCATATACATAACTTGATAAATTTGAGTAGCACTTGTCTGAGCATAGATCACCATATCAACATACGGATTACCAGTAGAAATAGTTGAAGGATAAATCCATGCTTCTACAGTGAAACTTCTATTATAAAAGTCCATATGATTAGCAATTGTCAGATACTGTGATTGAGCTGAAAGGAGTTGAATAGAATAACCACGTCCATTGTGTCCAGGCGAAATGTATTGGGGAGAATTGTGTGAAACGGTACTGTAGTTGCCGTAATAATAATCATTAGTAGTATTATCAAATGTATAAAGAATCGTGAAGGTATCTTTGTAATATGAAACAAATATTAGTGTAATAGAGATTGAAAAATGACTGGTTAAAAGGCAAAAATGGGAGAAAGTTTCTACAGATAAAGTTCAGCCCATACTCATATTATTACTCCAATTCTTATTCTGAAAAGCTTATTTTTTATCCAAAACAGATGTGATATTCGTAATTAACATTAGAGAAGCAATCGAAAATCAAAAGAAGCTTATGTAAAAATTGTTCGCATTTTTCCAGCAATGATCGAAAAATATTAGAATTTTTTTATACATAATTTGTAAAGCTAATTACGAATATTATGTGTATCTTAGAAACGAAAAATTCTTTTAACATTTGCTAGTATAGCTTTTACCGAACAAACTAGCAAACTCGCTACTTTTCTGTTTAAAGCTGATGCTTTTTTCGAAAAATTAAATAAATATATACTAAATTAATGAAATGTACTATTTTATCATGTATCAGTCTACTTAGTTTCCCTTTCAGGATTTCTACAACGAATGCTTCAAGTTAAAAAGGCCAAACTATAGCAGTTTAAAATGATTGAACTGAGTCCAGTACTATTATGTTTAATGTTAAAATTTGATTCTTTTATTTGATATACTTTAATTTATGTTTAATCATCGTTAGTGAACTTGCTGATTTTTGCGGTTGTTGCTTTAGAGGTGGTTGTGCTGGTTGTTGTATAGGTGGTTGTGCTGGTTGTAGTAGAGGTGGTTGTGCTGGTTGTAGTA